TTATGCAGTGAGGTTGTTGTAGGAGGCTTTATCCCGGACGGGTGTCATCGGTCCTACTTCCGGCGCAAGTGCTTCTTCTTGGAGTCCCCGGCCGGAGAACAAGCAACCAAAAATATGACGTTCCTCCACGGTCGAGGGTGATGATAGGCTATAATTACGTATTTTAGTCGCTTATTACACTCTAGTTTACTGCACTTTAATTGAGTTTGAGCTTTAATCGCTAGTGTCTTGCGCTAACTATGTGTTTTATGCCTTGTAGGAGTGATTCCGAGCTATGTAGATGTTATGGAATGAATTCAAGTGATTTGGAGCTTTGAAGTCTGAGTAAAAGCTCGAGGAATTAAGCCGGGATCGTGTTTGGGGGTCAACGGATGATAGTTAGAGCGAACGAAGAATCGAGTAGGCATATCGCGCACTGTCTAGTAAAATGGATATAACTTTTTGCTCAGAATTCCATTTGGGCTCCACAATATATGGTTGGAAAGCTAACTCAAAGTGCTACAACTTTCATGTTTTACGGTTTTCTAAATTCCAAACGGAACAGGATCAAAAACGCGATTGAAACTGCGACTACGGACCTGACGCGGACGGAGACAGAATATAACCCAACTAGCGCAGCCTTAGCGCTGGCTTAGCGCGGCCGTGCTAGTCCAGACGGAAAAACAGATCTGAAGGGTAATTTTGGAAGTTCAATACAAATCCCCTCAACCTATAAAAGGTTTAGTTCGTCCAAAGGAGCAGGGGATAAGTTTTTAGGGTTTAGAACAAGGAAAAAAACAAGAGACACAATAGGAGCAAGGCGGGGAATTCTTCTACGAGTTTTTCTTTCCTCTTCCTATTTTTCATTGTTGGTTATAACTTTTAGTATTGTTGTTTTACATTCTATTATGAATAGCTAATTTGTTATCTAGGGTTTTGATGGAACCTTTTGTAGGATAAATTCTTGTTGTATTTTTATATAATTGAGTCGTTGGATTTCTCTACTTGTTCAACTACGTGTTTATTGTTGTTGATTGAATGGCCATCAATTGACTGTGCCTATTTTGTGTGTAGTGCTCGAGAGAGATTACATATTTAGGTAGTTGTTGAACAACGTCACTCCTAACGTATGTGAGAAATCAATATATTGGGTTTAAAGGTAGGTCTAGAAATAACAAAGACTTGACGTGGTCATAATGAGCGGGTAGATAAAGCTAACTAGCGTAGTTCGAGAGAATATATCTAGTAAATTATTGTAGTTGCTCGAGAGAGAATTACGGCACCTAAAGTGCTCACGATCAGTAGAGAATACATTGGCGAAAATTGTAGGGAACATAGCTAGAAGGATTCTGACAATTGGGGAAATCATAACTCTAGACCTGCTTAATTTAGTCTCCAACCCTTTGTTTCGTTAGTCGATAATTTTACTGCTTTGTAGTATTTGCTAGTTAATTAGTTAGAAATATAAATCGCAATCTTTATAATTTAGAAAATTATTCAATCTTGTTTTCTTGGTGATATTAAACAGATACGGCTAAGCCTTAGTTCTCTGTGGGATTCGACTCCGGACTTTTAGGCCGGATTATATTTGCAGCGACCGCTTATCCTTTTTAGGACTAGAGTTGGGCGTGATCAAATTTGACGCCGTTGCCGGGGAACTAACGGTGTAGTTGTAGCTGTATATATTGCTAGGTTACGAGTTTGAACTTTTATTTTATTTTCTTTTTTTTTGTATTTTTTTTATAACTATCGATTTGAGAAACATGGCATCTTGGAGTTATGGGAATTTAGGTGTAGATAATTCTACTATTGATCTCCATACATATTGTGAAGGAAACTACCTGTGGCAATATTGATGTCTACTACTTCAAAAAGGGTAGTCTTCATTACCCTCTCGGCATTCGTGGGCAACAAGATCTCTCCTCCGGTTGTCACGCTTGCCAGATTGAACCCGGCGAGGAGTTTTGTGACCGGAATGACACTTCCGGTTAGCTTGGCTTGTTCCGGCACTCTCCACTGGATAATATTGGCCAAACTTCCTGGGTCCACCAAAACACGTTTAATTTTAAAATCTAAAACATTAAGAGAGATTACCAAGGCATTGTTGTGCGGTAGTAGTAGTCCATATGCGTCTTCCTCCGTGAAAGTAATGTCATCTTCAGTGACTTCCCCGAGTCTCTTACTGTGGGTTATTGATACCTTCATCTTTTTTACTGCATAAAACGTCATTCCATTAATCTCGTTCCCACCAAAAATCATGTTGATCGTTAGACGATGAGGATCTTCTCCTACTTTCGAAGGTTCCACATTATCACGATTGTGGATGTAGTTGTTTTTAGCCCGGTCACTTAATAATTCTCTAAGATGGCCATTTTTAGCAATGTCGCCACCTCCTCGCGCAAATGTCAGCAGTCCCATGTCCGGTGGCCATTGGTCCTACGGTAGTCACACTACAAATTAGGATCTCTCAGAATGGGACCGGATCTTATTTGTTTTGGGAACCGTGCTTCCTTAATGTTCCTCATAGCCAATAGTAGTTCCACTACGCTGACGTTGAAGTTGTATTCAGATAGTATGGGGGAGGAGGAATCTCGGGGACCCGATATCTCCCTGTCGTGCAATGATATGTTATTCCGGCAGCGATCAACTCTCCTATCGATAGCGAATCTATCTACTAACCAGAAACCTGTGCCGCATCCTTCTGCCCTTTCATATGGCAAAATTGACCTCCTGAAGAACGTCGATCTGTGTCGAAATCATCCTTTGATTTAACCGTATTCTTTTCTCGGTCCCAACCCTTGGTTGATGCCGAGAAACCGAGTTGATCATCCTTAATCCTTATCTTTGACTCGTACCGGTTGCGAACATCTCCCATGTTGTTTCTTGGAACTTGAGCAGACTTTCTTTCAATTTTCGGGAAGCATTGGAACTTCTCGGGTTCAGCCCTTTAGTAAGTGCTTCAGCTGCCCATTCGTCCGGTATGGCCGGTAGTAGCACCTTTCTTTCTAAAATCTGGTCACGAACTCCCGCAGCAATTTGGATTGTCCTTGTGCAATCCTAAATATGTCGGCCTTTCGGGCCTGTACCTTCCTGGCCCCGCATGGGCTTTGATAAAAGAATCCATGAGCATCTCGAAGGAATCTATTAAGTGCTCGGGTAAGAGCAAATACCATGTTAGGGCCCCCTTCGTGAGGGTCTCCCCGTATTTTTTCAGTAAGATTGACTCAATCTCGTGCGGAGCTAAATCGTTCCCCTTCACCGCTATTATAGGTGGTGATGTGTTCTTAAGGATCCGAAGTCCCATCATACTTCGGCACGTCTGGCATCTTGAACTGCTTCGGGATCAATTCTGGTGATGCGCTTGGTTTGAACAGCAACTGGGTGAATTTTTGAGTCCGACCCTTTCAATACTGGTGGTGCAACCTTAATTTGATCCATTCGGGCGTTTATTTCCCTTATAAACCTTATGAGCTCGGTTTTAAAGGGATCATTCTCATTGTGGTTACCGAATCCGCTACCATCCCCCCGACCCTGTCGAAACTAACTTCGCCCCTCGGGGTGTTGTTGTCGACCCTCTGCGTTGTTTGGTTTGTGGGAGCACCAGGAAGAACTGGACCTTGTCCATTCGCGTTATTGGAAGCACCCAACAACGCCTGCCTCAACTCTGTCATGACCTGACCCTATCGCGAGAGATGGCCCATAATAGCCTTTTGTTGCTCCCTCAGGATCCTTACTGTTTCAGCGACATGCTCGTCTTCAGCATTATCAGGAGTTCTCTCTCGAACATGTCGTGGATATTGCCCACCATGGATCGGCGTGGCCTCATCCCCCTCGTTACGTGTATCACTGATCGAATCTTCGTGCTGAGGCTGATTTCCTTGGGCCTCAACATTGTGTGCGATGTTGACATCGTTATCTGCCATTTTCTATGATTTTTGTTAAGAACAAAGAATCAAACGGGTTAGTAATAGATGCAAGAATCAACTCAATTAAACAACTATCTAAGTCTCACGGTGGGCGCCAAACTGTTTACCCGTAAAACGGTATAGTTAAATCTATACGTGGTTTATAGACAAGTGAATCGATTTGATCCCAACATAATAAATAAATTAAACAAGAATGTAAGACATAGCGTTGAAATTGAGATAAGACAACAAAAATCCTGGTTCCTGGAGCAGAGCTTCCGGAGGCAGTAGTAACGATATTAATAAGCAAGAAGATAAAATGTTAATTGAGCTTTGAATTGTATGTAGAATAAGCTTGTCAGAAAATTCCCTCATTTACAGTGGCTGTTGAGCTCACTATTTATAGTTGTTCCTAAGGAACAAGGTACTAGGATCAAGCCACTCTTAAATGATAATTATGGGGGCCATTGAAGAATGTGTAACGGTAGGCAATGAATGTCATATTCTCTGTATCGTGCTATGTACTTAATGCTATGGAATATTCTACATTAAATGCTACCAGGCGACAGTCATTTATTTTGTCTTTATGAACAACATTCCCTTCGGAAACAAACGAAATTGTTGCCTTCTGACCTAATTGCCATTTGCCTCGCTTTCCGTCTGCCTTCGGCTCCACGTGTCGCTTTATTATGCGAACATTTAATATGAGCCTATTTTACTTCAAATATAACAAAATAAAAGAGAATAGAAGGATCTCGATTGAAACTAGGAATCGTTCCTAGATTTTACGCTTGTAAAGGGTCAAGAATCAGGAATCGTTTGTGTTTAGTTAGGGGCAAAAACGTCAATTTAGTCGGACCATAAAAAACGTTTTAAAACTCTTTGAAATTTGACTGTTTCAAAGTCAAAGCCGGTTTGGTATGAGAGAACAGAGCAGTCGTTGGCTTCTCCAACTCTGGCGACTTTTGTTCCCTTGGCCGGCACATTCACTAAAATATGTTCTCTTACATAATTATTGTTATTTTTTTGTTCTACTCCTACCTGATTATTGGAATTATCTCACTTCTATTTTGTCAAAAACATCATCTCTCTGTGAGTTTTCCTTTACTTTTATTCTCAAGTTTTGATTTTTATGATTTTTGCTGAAATGGGGGTTTAGCTTCGCTAGAAATAGTCAAAAGGGTCTTGAATTCTTGGTCTGTTATTTCCCAACTTTTAGTATTTCTTGTTAAAGCGCAAAACTCAGTAACCTCTCTATTTCTTCAGCTTATGCTACTTTCCATTTTCGTTTAAATATTCAAGTTTTGGTATTTTATATGAATTTGAACTGGGGTTTTGTTTATGGGTAGCATAATTCAAAGGGGTGTAAGAGTGTTGAGGAAAGTTGATACTTTTATCAATTTTTGCGGTAATCCAGGATTTAAGCTCGGTGGGTTCAACCTATAGGTTCTTAGCATTGAATCCGCTATATTTTTAAAGTTATGATTCATATCTACTACTTGTTGCAGTTTTAGTGAATTTTTACATATAAATTTATACTCTGCATCCAAACTATTGGATTCAAATAAACCCGGTAACTCAAAGCTCCATCCACCCCTATTGCTACCTAAGTACCTACCCCTGCATATTTCTTGGTATTGCTTCTCATCCCTAAGGACTAGGAATAGTGTATTTCTCAGAATGCTTTTTGCGTTTTGATTGAAGTATGACGTTCTTTGAATTTGTTTCTGTTCAGCTATTGCGAAGCTTGTGGGGGTAAGAGTTTGTTGTTTTCATCACAATGGGAGGGAGTTCTTCTAAGAACCAAGGCGCCAAAAGTAAGTTAGTGAATCCTTACACCCAGAGTGGTGTGAAAGGATATCTCTATGAGGGGCAACACCAGCAGCAGCGACATGAGTTGCAGAAGCAGAGTAAGATGCTAACTCCACCACAATTGCAGGAGAGCAAGGACAAAGAGAATCAGGAGCCAAGGTTCGGTGGCTATTCGAGCAGTGAGGAAGAGTTTTATGATGGTATCCCGAGGTTCCACGGGAGCTCTTCACGAAAACCTAAACCGAGGAGGGTTGCAAAGGTTGATAAATATCTATAACTCTGCTTCAGTAGATTTCCTCTCACCATTATATGTAAAAGGAAGTTGTCCCGAAAGACTTTAAATTAATGCAGACTTCGCTAAAGATAAGGCGCAACGGAAGAGGAAAATTCATATAGGTGATACCTACTCGTTGCGAATAGGCTTTAGACTTGGTAGAGAACTTCTATCCAGAGGCGAATGTAGCACTATATGTACGGGTTTAATTGAACCCATAACTTTCGACGCGGAGCATAAATTTATATGTAAAATCTATTAAAATTAAAATAAATAGTAGATATGAACCCATAACTTTAAAATCATAATGAGTTGAATGTTAAAAATCTTAAAAGTTGAACCCATAGGGATTAAATCCTGGGTCCGCATCATCATTATTATTATTATTATTATTATTATTATTATTATTATTATTATTATTATTATTATTATTATTATTATCTTTTCTTACTTGCACTTTCATTCTATTGGGTAACGATGATTATATGAGTTGAGCTTAATGAATGGAGTGAGGATTCATATCGCTGACTCCAACTTGTTTGGAACTGAGGCGTAGTTGTTGTTGTAACCATTCCACATAAAACTTGTTTAGATAAGTACTCGAATGGTAATTGGTTACCAGCTTATTAAGTGAGAACTTGATTGTTGACAAGAAGTAAAAGCAGAGGTGGATTCATAATGGATAAGTGTATTCCTGGAAATTTATGTTTGCCAACTGTTTGTAATGCTCGATATTACAGGTTCGGTAGGACAGACATCTTTGATGATTATTGTATTGTGTATATTTTGCAGCCAGCCATTATTTGGCACATGTACCAACTATGGTAGTAATAGCTGGAATTAAGATAACTATGCCACTTAACATGCAGGTTCCTAACTGTTGTAGGTTGCAGAAGTAAGTTTTCGTCTAGGTAGAGCTGGAAGTGCTGGACTCGTGAGGACCGTGGAAGCGTTGGACATAATTGGGAGCAGCATGACTAATTTGAATTTAAGCAGTGGCTTTGTTTCTGGTGTGACAAGCAAAGGGAATGAACTATCTATATTGTCATTTGAGGTCGCGAACACAATCGTTAAAGGTTCTACTCTTATGCATTCACTTTCAAGAAGAAGCATTCGACAATTGAAAGACGTGGTGCTACCTTCAGAAGGTGTGCAGCTGTTAGTATCAAATGACATGGATGAACTTCTTAGTATAGTTGCTGATGATAAGAGGTTAGTAATGGAGAGAGTAGCTTTACCGTAATTTTATTATTGGCGAGTCTTCTTTGAAGGGGGGCTTATCATGTTCACTTTTCCGAGTAAAAGAAATACTGATATGGCGTGCATCTCAGGAAAGAGCTACAGGTTTTTACTGGAGAAGTAGTTCGGTTTGGAAATCAATGTAAAGATCCACAATGGCACAACTTGGACCGTTTCTTTGAGAAGTAATATGCAGGATTCATACTTTTTCTGATAAATTTCTATATATTGAAGTTTTTACTGACTCTACACTTTAATATTTCCAGATATAGGAGAGAACCTACCCCTCAGAAACAATTGAGGGCAGAAGCTGAATTGATGATGCAGCAACTGTTAACCCTGGTTCAGTATACAGCTGTTAGTATTATCGTGCTGCCATAAAGTCAGAATTATAAAGTTCTAGTATCATTAGAGCTTTGTAATTTTAGAAATATTTACTAAGATTTATTTAATAAAAAGTTAAATTAATTAAAAGCAATCGACAAGAGACAAATTTTACACTTCATCGTTTGTATTCAGATACGTTATCGCGTAAATTGAGTTGTCTTTTATGATTTCCTTTTTTTTAACAAGCACCTTATATATACTTGTCTACTAGTTTCCACAAACATAATTCGGAGGTTCGTATTTAAACTATTTAACTTTCTTTTTAAGTTGAATACGAACTATGTCACTAACCTTTTAATTCTGATAGTAAAAAAGGGAGAATGGTTAGGAAGTATTTGATCTGCCAAAATTATGTTTCTTCACCTGATCATTATGTGCAATGCTGTTATCAATGGGTCTCAACTATGTAAAAGTGGGTTATTGGCTAGATCCTTGCATTGGCACGCCTTTTCAAGTACCAAAGTTAGTTAACATCATAAGATATTTTAACCGAGCTAGAAAAAGAAAGTCTTACAAGTGCTAAAAATATTTTGTGATCTGAGGATTGAAGTAGGAACTCACTATCTCTGATGACAGGAGTTATACCATGAGTTGCATACTCTGGATAAAATTGAGCAAGATTATCAGCACAAGCGTCTAGAAGATGGTAAATCAAATGCCAGTCAAAAAGGTGCCCAACCAATCTTGTTCATCTCTTCAGTTTGGCATTTCTCTTAGCATTACTTTTATTGATATTCATTGCTTCCTAGGCATATTATGTGCTTTTGAATTTCTTAACTCGCAGTGTCGTTTGCTTCTAACGTGATGAATCACCAGAAATAGCATCTATTCTCATATTTACTAAACAACTTCACCGAAAGGATTCTTCGTTCTTATGAAACGTTATGTTTAACTTTTTAATGCCCCTTGTCTAGAAGTTAGGGGTAAGGTCTGCATACACACTACGCTCCCCAGATCCCATTGTGTGCGATAATACTGGGTATGTTGTTGTTTTGTACTTGTCTAGAAGGTGATTGGAAGACTTGCTATCATGTACCACTACAAAGCAATTGGGGTTTCCTTCCAATAAAACAGTTTAAGAAATTATGCTTTTACGGTTTATGCTTGATGTTGATCTCTATCATCCTCTCTTGCTGCTGTTACTGCTTGTTGTTTTTGCTTCTTTTTCATTTTTCCTTAAGCCGGGGGTCTATCAGAAACAACTTCTCTACCTTCACATGGTAGGGGTAAGGTCTGCGCACACTCTACCCTTCCCAAACCCCATTTTGTAGGATTACACAGGGTTTGTTGTGCTTGCTTGCTGTTGAGTTTCATGCTAATAGTACATTTTAAAGCTTTAGTCTCTATGTAAAAACTAAATTGAAGAAAACCATCTTAAATAATTTGGCTGCTCATTCAAGTGTTAGAAAAAGGGATATGTTGATGATAATAATAATATTTTGGATCATTTTATTTCTTTTGCTCTTTTGCATTTTCCCGCAGGTAATGGTCTTACAACTTTAGCTGCTGAGTTGAAAATCCAGAAGAAAATAGTGAAAAACTTAAAGAAAAAGTCACTGTGGTCCAGATGTTTGGATGAGGTACCGTGTCAACCTTTATTTTTCAGCTTAATCATTTGAGACCATCCAAATTAATAACATATGGAGTATCATTTATTTGATTTTGCTGACTAACTGTTGGGATCAAGTTTTAGTGTTTTAATCTCTTCAATTTTGAGCATATCGTACTTTGAGGATGTATAAGACCCTTTTGATTATGGAAACAGGTCATGGATAAGCTAGTGGATATTGCCCTCTTTCTCAACAGGGAGATAGATAATATTTTTGGCAATGCGGGTATGTTCTGGCTCATTCTCTTAAGCTGATACATCTGGAATTTTACCCAGTATTCCTTAATTTGATATCTTAAATTGCAGAAGTGAACGGTTATTATTTTGGTTGTAAATCCATTTCTAAAGATTTATGCTAAATGGTATTTCATTGAGTGACACAACAAGCGATGCCATATGCATGTTATTTAGCTGAACTATGTAGAAACATCATAAAAGAATTAGAAATAAGGCTTTTATATATCTGCTTTTTCGGATCATCCTTGGAGTTCCCTTCATTCTTTTCTTGAGATAGAATTCCATAATGATTACTAATATCACCCTCTATGTTAGCGGCAAGTACATGAGATAATTGACGCAGAAGTTAGACTACTTGCGATGGTGGTCATAGACAACTTCAATTTGCAGTGCTTCTGAAGTATCAGAATCAGTTGTAGAGCTCTCGTTTAGACATTTACTTGCATGGCAACCATACAAATATGGGTTTGTAACTAACAGTGTTCGAGAAAAGATTAGGTTAAAAAATTAAGAAAAACCCTCATTTCTGATTTACTCAATAATTATCATTCAAGCACTTTATCACCTACACATCATACAGTTTTGTATCACTCACTCATTCACCCCTCAGGGGCTATGTATGGCCAAGGGTGGTCAACTGAACACTCTTCACCGAAAAATTATATATGTACAGGGTAAAAATATATTACTTGTTATTTGTTAAAAGAAATCGACTTTGAACACTCTTGCATAGCCCACTGGCAAAGGGTGTTCAAATTTGACACCCTTATTGATTTCCTGGCTTCGCCACTGTCACCATTATGTGCATTCCGTCGTGTTATCCCTCATTTCTAACCTTTCTGTTATCACTATGCCTCCCATCTTGGGTTAAGTCCTACGACTACTAATCTAAAGTTTGGTTCAAGGTAAATTAGGTAATAATTAAAGAACTTATAACTGAATTAGAGAGACAAGGAAGATTGTTTTCAAAATCCTGAAGGCCAGACTTCATTTCAATATCTCTAGTGTAAATATTACCAGTCCGCAGGAATGTTTTGGGACATTTGTGCTCTGAGTATTGAGCATGTATCTTCTGCCACATCTTTCTTGCCTGTGGATTCTTCCATAAACTGAAACACGTATATTAGTAGAATAAACCAAAGACACTATCTTCCGCTTATTATTCAAAACAATTGTACACTTTTGTTTGCCCCCTTGCCCCAGGGAGAAAATGAAAAGTTAAAACAGAAAAAGGCAAAAATGTAAGTAAACAAAATAAACAATAATCCTCTACTTAATAATTTCTGATTGAGATAACTGTGACATGCAGATCCAGATAGCGAGGAAAAGCAATTTCTAGGTAGTAAGCCAAGATTAGGGCCTGCCGGTCTTGATCTACATTATGCTAATATCATTCTTCAGATTGATTCAATTGTAAGAGTCATTCTTCCATTTTTTGCCAATCATAAGCACGAAAAGTGTTCCGATTTGTGATCTTTGCATCTTGTTGACTCAATAATTATTGTGATCAGGTAGCCCGGTCAAGCTCTATGCCTCCAAATGCGCGAGATATGCTATATCAGAATCTTCCGCCCAATATAAAATTTTCTTTGCGATCCAAAATACAATCTTTTCATGTCAAAGAGCAGGTGCCCTCTCATTTCTTATTACCAGGAAGCATCAGTTTGGTACTAGTAACGGGCAAGATTAATTTAATCTTAACAAGCGGATTTTAAGCTTGTTTCATCGTCTAGTGAAATTCTGCATAATTTTATATTTTCCTACTTTAGATCATCATCATGTCCCTTCTTTTGCTCGTCTTTTTCTTTCCTCTCCTTTCTGCAGCTCACTGTTACTGAGATTAAAGCTGAAATGGAGAAAACACTACAGTGGCTAGTTCCTGCTGCAACGATTACTGCCAAGTATGAACTCGAAACAGCTCAACTGATTACTCATGTCTAATTTCTTTGCAATTTTTGATAGTTTCATCATCTTGTGTTTTAATAATCTGAAACAGAGCTCACCATGGTTTTGGTTGGGTTGGAGAATGGGCTAATGCCGGGTAAGTTTCCCTAATGGCCTCTATGCCATTGTTTTATTCGCCTTTAACAAATATGAGCACTACACTATGCTATGATTAAAGACATTTCATGTGTTCAGGTCTGAATCAAATCGTAAGTCGATTGTATCAGCGGATGTCATCCAAATTGAGACACTACACCATGCTGACAAGCAGAAATCAGAGGCTTATATCTTTGAGCTTGTTCTATGGCTCAATTACCTAGTAGCTCAGTCCAAAGCAACTTCCTGCGGTGGGCGCTTGAGGTCACTTTTGAAATCCCCAGATTGTTCATCTCTTGATTCCGTAGACCGGGTAGATATTTCAATATGAGTTGCTTACAACAACGACAACAACATACCCGATGTATTCCCACAATGTGGGGTGTGGGGAGGGTAGTGTGTACGCAGACTTTACCACTACCTTGTGGATGTAAAGAGGCTGTTTCCGGAAGACTTCAATATGAGTTGCTTGTTGTGGGGATTAGAAGATGTACAGACGATAACGTGTTGTTTAGCAAATGAAATCAAGATTAGGGTGATAGAGAAAATAGAAAATGAAGTTGGTTTTGGATGATTAGGTCACTCTTTGTCAATATTGATTTGTTATGTTTCTTAACACAGGTTAGATTTTGTTTCATATTTAATCACCACTTTTGTGCCAAATAGCCACACATCTTGCATAAGTGAATACTAAAGTTTGTGTTCTCAAAGAAAAAAGAACTTAAAAACAAAAACAAAAAAAAACAAAAAAAGATTGCTCTTGTGACTCGGGATGAACCTTTACCGGTGGAGGAAAGGAATATTCCTATAGAGCATTCAGGATTAACCGATCATCGCACCAGCAACCAACCCACCAAAAATTGTTGTCACACTTCCTCTATCTCTTAAAGAGTTGATTTTGAGTCACTTTACTCATAAAGGGACGATCTGGTTTACTTTATAGTAACAATTTTGTAAGAAGAGAGCCATTTGTCATAAGCTATATACATGTTGATGATGTGTTGTATTGAGTGTGAACACAATCCTGCATTGAAAGCTGATAAGGAAAAATAACTACAAACTGATGCCAATGTGCCTTGGGCATTATCCATGTCGAGTATTTCTGATCTTTGCTACAAAAACAATTGGAATTAGCTACGAAACTTCGTCGCTCATAGCTAACAGAATTTCTGATAATCCGTCACTGATACATTCTTGGAAATCGACAAAACCAATTGAAGAATACATGCAGAAGACATAGGAAGACAATTGCTACAAAAAGAAAAGTTTAATATGGAAAATAGAGTGATATCTTCATAATACACAAGACTAGTAAATATGGAAAAAGAGAATGAAAAAGATAAAAGATAAAGTGAAGAAGGCATAGCCAACAATCAAATCATATGATGATTCGTTTTTACATGGTTGATCAAGATGTTGCACAAAGGAAATACTAGTTATAAAAATACTCTACAAAGAACAAAGAATGAAAACATGTATAGTATGTGTAAGGATACCATGTCCATGGGTGGATGTATAGTATGTCCACCGGATTCATCTGAACTCAATACTTTCACCGCGGAGCATAAATTTATGTATAAAAATTCATTAAAACTGCAACAAATTGTAAGTCTAAACTCATCTATACTATATTAAAAGCACGAAGGCCCTTAGCGAAATACCTTTTGCCTTTTCTACCCTTTAAAATTTTATTTTATATTGGACAAAATTATAATTTAAATTACTTTCCTATTTACGACTCTAAAATTAATTTAAATTTTTGTCAGTAAATCTTTTCCTTATTTGAATTATATAAGAAATCTTAATATTTAGGACTTATTATTGATTAAAATTTTATAAGTGATTCCTCATTTAAACTATGTTACATAACTATAATATCTTTCGGATTAATTTTCTTAATATCAATTTTCATCATCAGTTCATATCCAAATATGGACGTTTAATTTCCCTTAAAAGGTTCATGGTAATAAACTCCAGAGATTTAAGGAGTATGATTTGGAGTTGAAGAAGGTCATCTCTTTTTTTTTCCCCACTTTTTAAAGGGCACTCTACTTTAAACTACAATCAGAATAATTTACTTCCTGCATCTTTGATATTATACAAATAGGATTTGATATAATCAAGCAGAATTTTGAATGATTTTATTTATTTAAAATCTAATAATTTTTATTGCGTAATTTTGTTTTATGTTCTACGTTCACTAATTGGCATTACTGTCACGACCCGGATTTCCCACCGTCGGGATCGTGATGGCGCTTACCCTTGAAAGCTAGGTAAGCCAACCGATACAGTTTTACCACATTTATTATTAACCAAAACAGAAATAAATAATAGCTAAAATTAAACAGATATAAGGTGCGGAAGTGATATAACAGTTCAACAACTCTAATACATGACTACCCCAATGATCTGGTGTCACAATCCACGAACGTCTAAGAAATTCTACAAATATTGCTTTAAAAGAAGTACATTTGTTCTCAAAATAGAAAGAGACAGGAAAAGCTAAAATAGAGGAAAGGGGACTCCAGAGTCTGCGAACGCCGGCAAATCTACCCTGGGTCTCCCGTGGACTGAAGGCACTCACAAGGTCCGGCACCGAAATCTGCACAGAAAGTGCAGAGTGCAGTATCAGTACGATTGACCACATGTACTGGTAAGTGTCGAGCCTAACCTCGGCGAAGTAGTGACGAGGCTAGGACACGACATCAATATAAACCTGTGCAGTTAAATCATATACGAGGAAACAATAATAACAGAAATTTAACAGACAAAGACGGGAAGGGAAAACATGTTGTGGGGAATATCAAGTTCTGACAGTAATTCAATAGAGAAACAGAGTAAACACCATATTTGAACCAACAGGAATAATGAAATAGTAACACGTGCACGGCATCACCCTTCGTGCTTTTACTCTCGTCCTCACCATAAGAAACAACAGAAACGGCACGGCATCACCTTCGTGCATTAACTCTCAAATCATGGCACGACATCACCCTTCGTGCATTAACACTCACAAAATGTGGCACAACATCACCCTTCGTGCATTAACACTCGCTCACAATATCGTGCACGACATCACCCTTCGTGCTTTACACTCTTCCTCACCCAAACAGTAGAAACAATAACATTCCGGCAAGGGAATCAACAATAACCAATCTCATTTCAATAGTTAACTTCACAATATAAGTCTCAACTTGAGTCAATACTCAACAATGATCCAATACCAAGAAAATATCATAAGACTTGTTCAACATGGAGAATTATCAATTTAAGCATGCACATTACGTAATAAGAGATACAACGGTCACAGTATAAGACCCGCTTGCATGCTCAACATCAACGTATAGATACTCGTCACCACACCTATACGTCGAACTCAATACTAACACGTAACAAATAAGACAACAACACATATTCCCTCAAGCTAAGGTTAGACCAAACACTTACCTCGATTCCACGGCCAAACTCAAGCCTCAAATACCGTTTTTTCTTTAGTTTCCACTTCCAAACGGCCCGAATCTATGCATAATTAACTAATTAACATCAATTAACGCTAAATAAACCAATTCTAATGCATGAGTATAGATTTCCTAATATTTTTTCCAAAAAGTCAAAAATCGACCCCGGGCCGCTTGGTCAAAACTCGAAGTTCGAACCAAAACTCGATTACCCATTCACCCACGAACCCAAATATGCAATTGGTTTTGAAATCCGACCTCAATTTGAGGTCTAAATCTCCAAATTTCGAAATTCCTAAATTCTACCCAAAAACACCCAATTTCCCATGAAAAACCCTAGATTTTGTGATGAAATCTTGTAAAAAGATGAAATAGATTGAAGGAATTGAGTTAGAAATCGTTTACCTATGATTTGGGGAAGAACTCATCTTTGGAAAATCGCCTATGGGAGCTTAGGGTTTGAAAATTTGAGAGAATGAGTTGAAATCCCGTCTAAATTGTGTTTTGATCAGTTGCAGATGTCGCATTTAAGACCAGAGCTTCGCAATTGCGAAGCTCGCAAATGCGAGACAGGCGTCGCAAATGCCAACCTGCTGCATGCCTGCTACTGTAGCAATTGCGAACCTTTGGTCTTAATTGTGAAGGTTGCCCCTCCCTGATGACTTCGCAAATGCGAAGGTATATTCGCAGATGCGAACTATGCTGGCCCAGGGCTTCTTCGCAATTGCGATAAAACCCTCGCAATTGCCAAGCCTGTGAAGCTCGCAAATGCGAAGCCTGATCTCGCAATTGCGAAACCAGAGGCCTGCAACAAATACCAGATGCAACAGCAGATTTTTCTAAGTCCAAACTCACTCTGTGGCCTATCAAAAACCCACCCGAGCCCTCGGGGCTCTAAGCCAAACATGCACACAAGGCTAAAAACATCATACGGACTTGCCCGTGCGATCAAATCGCCAAAATAACATCTCAAACAACGAATTTAACACCAAAACTCATGATTTTCTTAAGAACACTTGAAATTTCTATTTTCGCAATCGGACGTCCAAATCACGTCAAATCAGTTCCATTTCTCACCAAATTTCACAGACACGACTTAAATATTATATCAGACTTGTAGGGCTCCGAAACTAAAATACGGGCCCGATAGCAACGAGGTCACACACTATTCCATTTCTAAAAATCCTTAAATTTTTCAGCAAACAATTCTTCAAAAATTTATTTCTCGGGCTAGGGACTCCGGGATTCGATTCCGGGCATACGCCTAAGTCCCATATTTTACTAAGGACCATGCGGGACCATCAAATCACGAGTCCGGGTCCGTTTACCAAAAATGTTGACCGAAGTCAACTTTAATCAATTTTAAAGATAAAATTCAATATTTTCTTAAATTCCAAATAAAGGCTTTCCAAAAAAGTGTCGAGACTGCGCACGCAAACCGAGGAGAAAGAAAATGAGGTTTTCAAGGCCTCGGAACCCGGATTCGGATTCTAAAACAAAAGATGACCCTTTGGGTCATCACAATTACCTATTTTAAGCTGACAATTAACTTTGTATAATTCTATTCCTGTTATTTTTGAACATAACCTACTAAAATAATATTTTTTGTCTTCATCAAGTTTTGCATAATATTTTAAAATTACATTAAATATTTAGAACAAACAAGAAAAAATATATATATTTAACGATATAAAATAGAGAGAGAAGTAGTTCGCAAAAGTCAGATATACTAATAGTCTAGCAGACACAAAGATTCAAAACTAAAATATTCATCAATATTTTACCTTTTAAATTTAAAATTATAGTTGCAGCTAAATACTTAAAATTTATATAT